GTACCTCCTGCTTGCGGGAGGCTGAGTCGGCTGACAGTAGTGCCTCGACTGCACTGGTCACCTAGGGGAAGCAGAGGGTCAGAGACAGTACCCAGCCCCAGCTCCACATGCCCCTCTAGCATTGAGTCTTTAGCTTTCTCAGCACTTGCCCAGGACATCACTGCTCTGGCCCCGCTTGCCCTAAAATCTTTGGGAGGGTGGGAAAATATTCATACCCGATCTCTAACAAAGTCAGGCAGTCCCCCCAGCCCATCCCGGGCAATCTCCAAGTAATCCGGCAAAATGACAATCTTCACATCCTCATCGTACTCAAACTTATCATTGCTGAGGTCAAACCCTCCTTCGACACCTGGTGAGAAGGGAAGAAGAGGGAGAGTAGGACAACGACCACAGGTAAATGTCCCTTCTCTGATACAGCGCTTGACTTTGTCCCCTCCAGACCTCAAGGGCCACTGATCTGGCCTGTTCTTCTGGTGCTTTCTTAGTACTGAGAGGAGGAAAGACCAGCTCAGGGAGGATAGGACTGCAGTGGTGCTCACCAATAGCCAGCCGGGTGGGCTTCTTTCGTGGGGGGTCTCCAGTGGCTGTGGTGGTGTCCTCCTCCTTCTGTAAGAAGGCAGGAAAGGCAGGATCAGCAACGAGCACCAGGTGAGGGGCAAATGAGGCGGATGCACAGGATGAAATGAGTTAAGCTTAGAAAAGAATGTAGCTAAAAAGACATGTGCTGAGTTTTAATGACACCAAAATAGGTGAGAGGGAAATTGAGGCCTACAGGAAGTCAAATGGGACAGATTCAAAATGGGGGCCCAGTGGGATGTGTCAGAATGACCCCAGGCCCAGCCCTTATCCCTACCAGGCGCCGGGTTCGCCGGAGGTGCAAGTAGACTCGCTGGCCCGTCTTGTTGAAATGTCTCTCCACATACTGTTTCCCGAAGCCCAGGAATGTGTTCATGCAGATATAGAGGCCACCCTCAGACTCCTGCAGGACAAGAGGCAGGGAGGAAACACAGGAAGGATGAAGCCTGGCCAGGTGCAGAAACTAAGACCTGGGCACAAAAACTTCTGTTTCCNGATGAAGCCTGGCCAGGTGCAGAAACTAAGACCTGGGCACAAAAACTTCTTTTTCCAAAGAAAGACTCTGTTCTCTAACACTGTGCGGCTCTTGGTAAGTCATTTTACCTACTGAGTACTTAGTACATGGCCAAGATTCTCCCCATCCTTTGATAACAACCAATGAGGACACCAGGAGCTGAACAACACCTATCAGTCACCATTCCTCTTCCTCCTTCTTTGGGCTTTGGAGCCCTCCAATCAACTGCAGAGAACCCCCTCCACCTCTTCTCTGGTGCAAAGAGACCCAGAAGTAAAAGGGGACCAAATACCGTGAACTTCCAGTACTCGAAATTACATTCAGATAAGAAAAGTGTCCTTCCTTGGAAAGGAAAGACCTGCATGTCAGATACTGAACCTAAACCAGGGACACCATGACAAACCCCACCTGATCTCCAGGATTAAGAAAACCTACCAGGCCCGGCTGGCATGGCTCAGTGGTTGAGTATCAACCTATGATCCAGGAGACTGTGGTTCAATGCCCAGTCAAGGCACATGCCTGGGTTGTGGGCTTGATCCCCAGCAGGGAGTATGCAGGAGACAGCCCCTCAATGACTCTCTCATCATTGATGTGTCTATCTTTCTCTCCCTTCCTCTCTCTGAAATCAATAAAAACATATCTTTAAAAAGAAAGAAAACCTACCAGACTGGACAAGCAGAGATTCTTCTAGTATATCTAACCCTGGAACTTGCCTACAAGACCAGACCTTTCCTTTACCATACTCTGCTAGGTAGCTGAACCCTGGTCCACACTGAGTCTTCTCCCTCTTCTCCTGCTGAAGCCTGGCTCCAGGGAAACAATGCCTTGAGTGCAGCTCACAGCTAAACCTGGACCCAGCCTGGCAGGGACATGAAGTCTGGCATTCTCCAGCCACCACCCTGTCACCTCCCTCTGACCAAAAACGAAATACCCACTGAAGTCCCATCAACGTCTAAGCCCAAAGCCATCTCCTTTCTAGAACAATCTAGCAACACTTGCTGAGACAGGGAGAACACATATAACCCAGATAGAAAACAGGGAAAGACAAGTGTCCACTCTAAATCACGGCTGAAAGGAGAAGATGAGCTTCCCAAAACTGAGCAAGTCTACCAGTGGCTTTGTGAATAAAGTAATGGAGAAAATGGAGGAGGAAATCTATCTTTCATAGAGTCTTCCCTCGGATTCTCAGATCCAAGGTTTTGAGCAACAGTAGGCGTCTTCTTCCTGGAATGAAAGCCTCAGTGGCCTTGAAAAATGTTCTGCTGTGATATTAAAAATAGGGCACGAACTAAGGCAGTTCTTGGTCTCACAGATTGTGTACCACTCCCTAGAACAGTGTGGATTATAATATTCATAAACAAATAGAGCATTTCTCACCAGGGAGGTCACAGAAGTTCTCTTTCTACCATGAACCCAATTTGAAGATTATCAAATATGCCGGAAGTTGGTTAGCAAAGCCAACTCAGCCACACTGGAGATCTCTTGACTTGGGGTGAGAGAAGAAAAGTGTAGTAAGTTGACAAAAATCCCTTTTGGATTATTCAACGCAGTTACTAGGAGAGAGACAGGAGTATAAAGAGGAATCCACTGACTTCTACCATCAGTTGGTAATTTAAAAAAACCTTTTCCTCCTGAGAAAGATGGTGCTTCACCAAGCCACACATCTGATAATTGGGGGCATGAGGAAACCACAGGAATTAAACTCCTCTGCTGGAAATAAAAAATGTTGGTTTCACCAAGGATTGGGAACCCTGGAGCTCTGCTCTGAGCAGTACTCTTTTAGCTTTGCCAAAGCCAGACTTCAGAGAAGTCTGCACATTGTTTGAGGCCAAGCTCAAAGCCTAGCAAACCAAGCAAACCACAAATCAGTGGTAATCCTGAACTTGGTTTTAGATCATGCTCCAATACTCAGCACTGCATTAATGATGTCTTTCCACTCTGACTTGCAGTTTTCCTGGCCAGGAGCTGGTCTGGCTGAACACCCTGGGCAGGGCCCAGCAGCGGATTGAGGGGAGGGCTGGTGAGGGGGGCGGATCCCAACCAGGCTGCTGCCCTTTCAGTTCAGGCTCTGCCCCTGGCCAGAGCCTTGTCCCTGCTTGAGGGTGACACAAAAAGGGAGAACCGTAGGAAGGGAGGTACCCGGTGGAGCCTGCATAACCTGAAGCATGGTGTGGGTGGCGGCTTTGTCTAACTAGTCAAGAGTAAGAGTGGGATACGAAAGGGGCCTTAGTATCCTTCAAGAAAGAAACCATCTCTCTGGAAATACTTTGGAAAGGGTTCCCTCTGCTTTTCCGTGATGCGCGGGAAAAAAAGGGGGCCGCGGGAATGGTTCATCTTAAAGGAGAAACGACTAGAGCTTTCCACTCCTCTTTCGTCCCCTCCCTACCACCAATGACCCACCTCCCCGCCCCCTGTCCATATTAATCATGGGCGGAGGCTCTGTAACTGGGCCTTTCTCAGAAACGGCCTTCTTCAGTGCCACTTCCAGACGACCAGGTGCCTAGGAACTGCAGTACCCACCCTCCACCCCCAAACCTGGCCCAGAACGGTGGGAGGTCGCCCCATCCCTTCTACACGAGACTACAAAACCCGGAGAACCATGCGCGACAGGCAAGGCCAACTCCCAGGCTTTCGTAGTTATCCACTTGGGGGATGTAGTCCGATGATCGGGTTGTGCCCCTATCTTAGAACGGCAGAGGGGAGTAAGCGACTACAATCCCCAGAGTGCTCCAGGAGACGGGGAGCGGGTGAGGCGGCCGCGGTGGCTTCCGGGAGCGGTAGTCATGCGGCAACTCCTGCTAATTAAAAGCAACGGCAGGGAGTAGCATGGAAGACTACATGTCCCATGGTGCATCGCAAGGAGGCGGTAGCCCAAGATTGCAGGCCCCGGCAGAATGACCAGGGCTATGGAAGGAAGTCGTGCTCGCTGCGGGCGTGGGGAATGGGCTTACCGGTGTGTCGAAGGAGAAGGCGCACTCGTCTTTGTGGACCCGGTCTCCAGCCTTAGGGACCCGGATCGTCGGTAATACTGACAGCAGCGCCTCCTCACTCAGCTCCGCCATGACACCGGCAGTAGCTCCTCCACACAGAGCAGCTCCCACCTTTCCTAGTCCCCCACCCCCTCCTCTAGTGGTCCAATGAGCACTACTCGTTAGGTGCATGCGCTACTGGGAAGACGCGCGAGAATGGCAGTTGGACCGAGCCTGCCTACGAGTGCTCCGCCCTCTGCCCTACTCCTGACTAAAGCCAATGAAAAGCGCCCCCAATGCAATCGATGGTTGAAAGAACCAATCCCACTCTTCCAGGGCAGAGCGCTTGTAGAGCAGCGAGGTGAGCCCCAGAGTTTTTGCGGCTCGCTCTGTGGGACCCCTGCTGCCCCTTCGCGTGTCTTCTATTGAAGAGCAGAAACGGACAGTTGTTTAAGCCAATCTCAGAGACTTTCCTGGAGACTTACCCAATCGGAAATTAGAAGGGCAGTTGTGTTCTTGGTATTTGAAAAAGAGGCTACCCAATGAGGCGGAGTTTGAGAGGGTTAGAGTCGAGTGATTGATAACCCGTCAACCTGTAAGGATTACTATTTCTCTCGCCTCAAAATTTTCATAGCTCTGGCTCCGCCTGAATCTGTACATAATAGCGTAATGATTCATTGTGTTTTTAAAATAAAATTATTTCGTTTTGAAACTGAAGGTCTCAGAAGCGAAGATTGGCACTCCTTAAAGTTTATCGACAGACAACGTGCAGCCTGAAAGGAACAAAAGTGCCCTTTTATCAACGAGGCGTCACCCCTGGGCAAGCCAAGCCGCTGCCCATTGACTCCATGATACCCATGATGGACGTCCTCCCAGCCCAGTGGCTTCCTTTCCTGGAGGCGGATCCCACAGAGCGGGCCTATAGGAGTTTGTGTCGGCTCAGCCAATAGGGTCACGGCAGGGGGCGTGGCGGGAGGTTTGAAACTCAGCTTCGGGAGTTGAGGCTCCATCTGCTGTGCGCCAAAGGTGGAGTTGGGGCCCGGTAAGTGATTTGAATAAATTAGTGAATAAGTTAGAAGGTCCCGCAGGCCCTGAATGAGCCGCCTTGTCAACTGCACCAGTCATTGTCCCCACAGAGCTGTCTGGCCCAGCGGCCGGGAGGTTCCTTAGCCGGGATCTGGGAAGATCGGGTGGTCAGGAGTCCGAGGTTGGACATGGTCGTAATGAGGGCTGAGACCTGAGTCACTTCTCACAGGCATCCCCTCCTTGCCCCGGGCCGGGCCCTGCTCTACCCTCTGCCATCCGGTTGAGATGGGCTCAGCCAAGAGCGTACCGGTCACTCCAGTGCGGCCCCCGCCGCACAACAAGCATCTGGCTCGAGTGGCGGACCCGCGTTCACCTAGTGCCGGCATCCAGCGCACTCCCATCCAGGTACTTTGGGTCAGGTGGGGGGTAAGTAGAGAAACTCTAAATTCTTTGGCCTTCGCCTAATCTGATTCTGAGAGAGCCCCCACTCCCCACCTCTACTTTGAGGCCTTATTTTCTACATCGTCCTGAATGTCTGGGGGCCCTGGCAATTCCTGCCTGGAACATTGGCCCGAGGCTGGAGACCTGGGAGGGAAGAAGAGTCAGAGCTCAGTCTTTAAAAGCCTTTGGTCTTGACAGGTGGAGAGCTCTCCACAGCCAAACCTAACAGCAGGGGAGCAGCTGGAGCATCCTAATCAGGCCCAGGACTCAGATCCCCGCTCTCCTACCCTTGGTATTGCACGGACACCTATGAAGACCAGCGGCGGAGGTAAGTGTTGGGCCCAGGGAATTCTGATGAGCGTCAGCTAGCATCCTTGGTTGGGGGGCCAATTAAGCCATCCTCTCAGGGCTCCTTCTTTTTTAAAAAATATGTCTTTATTGATTTCAGAGAGAGAAGAAGAGAGAGGGAGAGATAGAAACATCAATGATGAGAGTCATTGATCAGCTGCCTCCTGCATGGCCCCACTGGGGATCGAGGCCAAAACTTGGGCATCTGCCCTGACCCGGAATCGAACCTGAGTCTTCTGGATCATAGGTCGATGCTCAACCACTGAGCCATGCCGGCCTGACTCAGGGCTCCTTCTTAAAGGGGCCTCTGTCTGCTATGAACCCATCTCACTCTTTTCTCAACATTTTGCTCCCTCTCACCTTGATTTCCCTTTTCTTAGTTCCTTGCCCACCAGGGCATGAATCCTAAGGCTTTATATTTTTTCCTCTTTGCTGAACAATTTGTATCAGGGAGTCACTATCTCACTTCACTTCTCCCCTCTAGAGCTCGAAACTCCACTGGTGAAACAGCTGAGTGAAGTATTTGAGACCGAAGCCCCCAAATCAAATTTCCCCCCAGAGCCTATTCTGCCCCTAGAGGCACCTTCATCTTCTGAATTGGACTTGCCTCTGGGCACCCAGCATTCCCCTGAGGACCAGATGCCACATGGGAGCCAGACTGAGCACCCCTCCAAGCAGGTGTTTTCCGAGGAAGAAACAGGACAGCCCTCAGAAACTCTTATGGCCAGCCAGGGCTTAGACAAGCATATGAGAGACCCCGAGACGCCCAGACCTTCAGGTACAGAATCTAAGGGCAAAGTATAAGGAAGAGAAATTGGGATGATGTCCTGGGATAATGTCCACAGATAGTTTAGGAGAAATAAACTATAGGCCCCTAATTTTGTCTCCTAGGTTCTAAGCGCAATAGGCGGAAACCAAATGGCAAGGTACTAGGGAGATCTCCCCTCACCATCCTGCAGGATGACAACTCCCCTGGGACTCTGACACCACGACAGGTAAAGTGAGAGAGTGAGAGCTATTCCTAGGAAGTCCAACATAGAGGGTGGGAGGCCCTCTTACCCTATCGTCCCTCTCCTGAACAACCTCCCTCCCTCCCTCCCTCAACTTGCATACTGCCTTTTGTAGGGTAAGCGACCTTCTCCCCTGAGTGAAAATGTTAGGGAACTAAAGGAAGGGGCCATTTTGGGAACTGGACGACTCCTGGACCATGACAAGGAAAATCAACACTTTGCTTTGGTAAAGAACTAGGCCATGCATGGCCCCAGCCCTGGGTTCACCAGGGGTCTAGTGATGTTCTGAGTCCTCTCACCCCTTCTTTCCCTGGGAGACTGGAAAGACTCATTTTCTTGACTCCTCCTGAACTGCCACCTCTGGACCTGAGAGCTTTCTTAGGTTTTGTGTGTTATGTGTTTTTTGTATATTAAAGGAAGTGATTTTAAATGATGATGTTAACTGTTATACTTAAACCTTGCACTGGGTCATCTTCATGTAGAAAGGCAGCCTGGGGAGCTTGTGTTCCCTGGCCTGAGTGCACCTGCATTGATACCTCCAAATCTGTTTAACGCACCTCCCTTAAGTCCAGGTGTTCCCCAGGGCTCTGTCCCTGGCTCTTTCCTCTTGCTATTCATAGGTGTTCACTTCTAGGGATTAGCTACTTCTTACCTATATTCAGGTAACTCCCAGGTCTCTCTGTCTAACCCTGACCTTAATCCAGCTGCTCCATAGGCACTTCAAAGTCAGTTTGTCTAAAGTCGAATTTGTGATCTTCCCCCCCAAAACTATTTCTCTTCCCCTCTTCTTTATCCCTGTAAATAACAGTATTATCCACCCAAACCCAAACCTTGGCCATCATTTTTTAAAAAGATTTTTTAATTGGTTTTGTTTGTTTGTTTAGAGAAGGGAGAAAGAGAGAGAGAGACAAAGAGAGAAACATCGATGTGAGAGAGATACATCAATCAGTTGCCTCCTGCATGTGCCCTAATAGGACCGAGGATCAAACCAGCAACCTGGGTATGTGCCCTGATTGGGAATCATACCCTCCACCTTTTGGTGTATGGGACAATGCTCCAACCAACTGAGCCACACCAGACAAGGCTTGGCCATCATTTTGAATCCTTTCCTCTTAATATCCCATATCCTAGCACTTGGTCACTAAATCCTAGTGATTCTGTATCTTTAATCTCTTTCCCATCCCTTCGCCACCCCTCTGTCCTATTGCTCTTGCATTTCTTGCCACCTTCCTTTTATCTGTTGCCTTCATTCCCTCCTCTCTTCCCTCCCTCCATTTCATCAACCTACCCTGCTGCTAGGGCCATCTTTCTTTTTTTTTATAAACTTACTTTTCTTTTTTATATTTTTATTGATTTCAGAGAGAGGAAGGGAGAGGGAGAGAGAGATAGGAACATCAGTGATGAGAGAGACACTGATCAGCTGCCCCCTGCACGCCCTTGACTGGGGATTGAACCCACAACCTGGGATTGAATGTGATCTCCTGGATCCTAGGTCGATGCTCAACCACTGAGCCACATCTGGCCAGGCTAGGGGCATCTTTCTGAGAAGCACAGCTTATCACATTACTACTCTGCTCAAAACTCTTCAGTAGTTCCCCATTGCTCTTAGGATAAAAACTAAACTAGCCTGACATTCAAGGCCTTTTATAATCTGATTCCTTCTCAACATAATCCTCCTGTACAAACACACGCACAGGCACCGTAGGCAGGCTGTGGTGAACTGCTATACACACACTCCCAAGCCACCTGGTGAAAACCTTTCCTGACCCATCTCAGGCCTTTCCCATGAGACTTGGGCTTCTGCCTCCACCCTACTTTCTGCCCACAAGCTGTCTGGTACCCAACCTTTATCACTTGCACCTGTAATACTTTATTACTTAAGTGGGAACTAGGTCTTTTTGGAACAGAAGTAGGGTGGAAGCCAAACATCACAGATATACCAGCAGGCTATACTTTATTGTGGATGCTTTGGAGAGAGAAAAAGAAGGTAGAAAAAGGAGGAAGCATGAAGGAGAAAGGGGGCCAGGACCCAGGTGGTTCCAGAGCCATAGTCTCAGGCCAAGCACCCTGTGCCACACAGTTCTAGACAAAGGTAGTAGCTCTGGAGGAGGAATCCTAGGGCCTGGAGCCTCATAGTGAAAGCCTGCTGGGCTGCCAGGGGCAGGGGAGGGGGACCCTTGTCCTTGCTCATTGAGGGAGAAACTCAGGACCAAGGAGAGGGGAGGCCATGGGAGGAGATGGGGCAGTTCTCTACCCATCCCTGATGCTGCCTCCCAAAGGCACACTCCCTGCATTCCCCACTGTCCTCAAGGAGAAAGCTTGGTGGGAATGGCAGCTGGGGTATAAAAGAGAAAGCCTTGAAGGAAACATAAAGAAATTGGGCAAGGAAAGGGACAGCTGAGTGTCTTCGTGGCCTTTTACCTCCCCTCCTCCAGCCTCCTCAGTTCCAGATTTTGAGGAAGCTGTCCCAGGAACCAGTGGCCACCGCCATCCCATCAGCTGTGACCCCCAGGCAGCTGACCCTGTTGTCATGGCCAGAGAGGATGCCTGGGGAAAAGGGAGAGGAGTCCGCGTGTCTCCATGTGCTGATTTGGCAGGGAGTGTGTGCACGCACAGGAATCCTAGGTTAGGTAGGCTGGGCTCTGACTTCAGCCCCCCTGATGGAGACTGGAAGGTTGAAAGAGGATTAGCCCTAAAAGATGGGGTTTCTCTTGAAGCCAATCTCTCTGTCAAGAACCTGGGTGGAGGAGGAGCGGAGAGAGATGGTGAAAGGTTGGAAGTGTCAGTGTGCTATGAGAAAAGTAAGGGGCATCTGGATGGGCACTGGAAAATGGGGAAAGTAACCCTTTTATGCTGTTTCTTTGTTTCCAAATGAAGATACTGAGGCCCAAAGAGAAGTGACTTACCAAGGGCACTCAGAAAGTAAGCCACAGAATTAGGATTTGGACCCCGACTCTCTGGACAGTTTTATTTTCACTCAGCACCTGGCCTCTTCCAAGAGAAAAAGCTATACTATCTGACTCAACTGCAGACCAGGAAGGTCCTATAAGCCCCTCACTTGGAATTAGGGCCCTCGGGTCATTCTAGACCTTGATTCTGCTCATTGCATAGTTCCTGAGACTGCCCTTTTTTACAGGGGGTGACCCTGAAACATAGACCTGACAAGATATTCAAGGTCCTCAGATCTGGGCATAACCTGAAGGAGCTCCTTTGACAGGGAGCAGCTATGGCCCTGGGCAATGGAGAAGGGCCCCTCAGAGCAATTTTTCTTTCAGAGAAGATGTTGCTACATTGGGAACCAAAGGGGGACTGGATTCCAGGGGTAAAGCTCAGAGTTATCTAATAATTAGGGAACGGCAGTAAGAGATTCCCAACAAGGGGAGCTTGCAGGAAGGTACTTCCAGCTGAGGTGGCAATAGGGGGGCTGTCCCTTACCCACACGCTCGCCCTTCATGGAGTCCCAGACATTGCAGTTGAAGTCATCATAGCCTGCAAAGAGCAGGCGGCCACTGAGGGAGAAGGCCACGGATGTGATGCCGCAGATGATGCTCTCGTGGGAGTAGGCAGTCAGCTCCTGGTCTGCCCTCAGGTCAAACAGGCGGCAGGAGGCATCATCAGATCCTGTGCAGATGGCCTCTCCACTGGGGAAGAACTGAGGGCACAGGTGGCAAGGGAGTCAGAACTCAGACTGGGACAGCCGCTGCCTCTCCTACCCTCTCCCTGGCTCCTGCCCTGGTGGCTCCAGGGAAAGCTGCTTCCCTGAGCCTCCTTGCCTGTCCCTTCCCTGGTCTGTGGTGAGAAAGGCCGCAGCATCGCTCTTAGTGTGCACTGGAGGCTCCCCTATACCCTTCACTTGCTCCGTCTGACAGCCTGCAGACCGGCATTATTCCCATGAGGCTGAGGGAGTGCCTGCAGCTTGCCTAGGGTCACATGGCTAGAAGCTCAGAAGTTGTCTCTGACTCTTCCCACTACAGTTGGCTGGATCAGAGTAGAGGAGCAGGGCCAAGTACAAATGCATAACCTGAATCTCATCATGAGGAAATGTCAGATCAACTCAAACAGAGGGGAAGTCTACAGAAAACTGGTTTGTACCGTACTCTAAAAATGTCAATGTCACAAAGGACAAAGGTAGAAAAACAGTTCCAGTTTAAAGGAAACTAAGATGTGGCAAGAAAATGCAATACATGTTCTCGGCAGGGAAAAAACACACCATACCAAACCACTGCTATTATGGATATTTTTGAGATAATTGGTGAGGTGTGAATACAGACTGTAGACTATATTATTGTGTCGATGTTAAATGTCCTGATTATAAGAATTATACTGTGGCTATGTAAGAGAATGGCCTTGTGTTTAGGGAATACATGCTAAAGTATTTAAGGGGTAAAGAGACATGATATCTGCAACTTACTCTCAAAAAGCCCAGGGGAAAAAGCAAAATGTATATCTACATTGTGATGTTTGTGTTTGGCTGGCTAGCTAGCTAGCTAGCTCTCAATCATCTATCTATCCATCTATTCCTTGGTCCCTCCATCCCTTCCTCTACAGTGAATGATAAAACAAAGGTGGTAAAATGTTACCAGTGAACATGGGTGAAAGCTAGGTGGGAGCTCTTTCTGTTACTCTCACAACTTTTCTGTAAGGTGAAATTATTTCAAAGTAGAAAGTTAAAAAGACGGGCAAGGTTCTCTCCGAGGGGTTAAAGGATGTGTTGGGGGTGGTGAGGTGGTCCCAGGAGTTGGAGCACAGAGGGGGCTCACACAGATGGCGTTGATGTCCGACTCATGACCAGTAAACGTCTGCCGGCAAGTCCCCTCGCGCACGTCCCAGAGCTTGGCGCTGGCATCACAGGCCCCCGAAATGAAGAGTTTGAAGTCAGGAGACACAGCCAGGCTCATGCAGTCCCCTGTGTGTCCCACAAACACAGTCTTCTGCTGCCCGGTCTCGATATCCCACAGAGCACTGCAGGGAGGAGGGGAGGCTATCACGGAGAAAGGCCAGGACAGCACTGCCTTCCCAGCCCAGCACCCAGTGTTCAGTCCTCACCACGTGGTGTCCCCTGAGCTGGTCACAATGTTGTTGTCATCCAGAAAGCGGCAACAGGAGAGATAACCTGGGGGTGGTTAGGATAGTGTCCTGGCTGCAGAGCCACAACCTGCCAGCCACCAGCCAGGGCTTCCCTGGACCCCTCAAGATGGGACGGGATAGGAAGAGGGTCTCTCACCTGTGTGAGCAGAGAGCTCCCGGCTGACCTTGACATTGCCCTCACGGGATTTGAGGCTGTAGATGGAGCACATGTTGTCCAGCCCCCCACATGCCACAAAGTTCCCTGATGGAGCATAGGCACAGGTCATGACCCAAGAGGAGCGCAGAGGGATGGCGTGTACCTGCAGGAGGGCAGGGTGAGCAGACAGGACCTGGGCTGAGCTCCCAGGTGGAGAGGGCAGAGGAGGGTAGGCACAATGTCCCCAAGGAAGGACAGGGTGATGGAGGGGCGGGATGCGGGGCTGGTACCTTATTGGTGGTGTAGGTATCCCAGACGATCAGCTTCCCATCTTGTGAGGCACTTACTAGCAACCTGGGGAGAGGGCACCCTATGTCACCCAAGCCTCTCCTTACTGCCTCCCCTCCCCTCTGAGCACCTCTCAAGCCTCACTTAGAGTCAGTGGCCCAGTGCATGGCATAAATCTTGGCCAGGTGTCCCCTTAAAGTCCGCCTCGTCCGCATCTGGACTCGTCCCACGACTTCTAGGCCAGACACAAGCTGCAGAAATGGGGGCATTAGAAATCAGGGTGAGGAGGGTATGTGCCCAGATGTCAGTGTCACTGCTACCAATCTGTACAAGTTTCTGTTCTGCTCCAGGCTCTGGCTCAGACCCCCAGCCTTAGAGAAATAAGTCCCTGCCATGGAGTGGCTTAGGTTGATGTGAGAGACAGCCAATGGCATGTTGTTAAGTGCTTAACAATTCCCTCTCCAGTGGGGGTGGGGAAAGATGGGGGGAAGTGGGAAGGTGATTTCTAACCTATAATTCTTCCACCTTGACCAATTTCTTTATATATGTGTGTATGTGTGTGTGTATTTCAGAGAGAGAAAGGGAGAGGGAGAGAGAGATAGAAACATCAATGATGAGAGTCATTGATCAGCTGCCTCCTGTACGTCCCTACTGGGGATTGAGCCTGCAACCTGGGCATGTGCCCTGACTGGGAATCAAACCATAATCTCCTGGATCATAGGTTGATGCTCAACCACTGAGCCATGCTGGCTGGGCGACCACGTTGACCAATTTCAAAATGCCAATGTGAAGTCACTAAACACACACTTAGGAAGCTACATACGCATTTGCCAATTCCAAACCACCAGGAGCCTGTCTGCACACACCTGCGCAGCACAGCCAACTCTTTAATGAGGGTATCCAAGGTATTGCCATGACCTTGAACTGCACCACCTGAAATTTGTGGTCCTATGCCCCTTAAACTCTATCCAGCTTCTAGACTTAGTCTGGGGCTCCAGGGCCAATAGACGCCTAATAATTTATTATCTTGACCAAATTACTTAACTTCTCTGAGCTTGTTTCCTCACCCATAAAATGTTTATAGCACCTACCTTATGGGGTTGTCATAAAAATGAAATTATGTATTTAAACAACTTAGCCGGTGTCTGACTCATGGTAAGTGTTCAGTAAATGCTTACTAATATCTTATTAAGATATTTAATCCTATCTAAGGTGCAACCAACTCTAGGAAGCACCTTTCTGGTATGTATCACCAAGAAAAAATGCTGCCAATTTTAACTGTAAGGCATCATCTAGTGTTGGATGCATCTTGATTTCAGAAATATCAAAATGTGAAACAGTGGGTGTCTTAGAATTGATGAAGTACAGTATTAGACAACTAGTAACTGAAGTCTAGGAGGGTTTGTGATTCACAAAGCACTATCCCTCTCTTCACCCTCATCACCCTGCAATGTGAGCAGCTGTAGTCACTTTTGTTTTATGGATGACAATAGGGGCAGCATCTTGTCCTTAGCTTGCCCCAGAGCAGATCTCACTGAATGTTTGTTGGCTGAACTAATTAATGTCATTGCCCATTCAAAGGACATTGTACTAAAGCTTGGGCTGGTCAAGGAGCTCCCCTCCCCTTTCCTCCCCTCAGGCCCTGCCTCAGGGGGACAGGAGTCTCACCTCTGTCAGAGTAATGTCAGCACAGGCTTTCCTGGCATCCTAGGGGGAAAGCAGACATCAGGGGAGGGAAGGGCAGAGTGGGGGGTGGGGTGCATGGGCCTCTGAGGTAAGTGGGCATGTGGCTCTATGGTTTGGGGACATCTCAAATATGAGATCCAGAAAGTCTCTGGTCAATTCCAGGTGAGGGGTCTCTAAGGTGTCACTCAAGAGTGAATCCAGCCTCCTTCCCCCAGGGCCACACTCCCTCATATCCCCATTTCCATGTTTTCGGGGTTCCCAGTGGGAAGGTTCTGGGGTTACTGCAATCTGCTTCTTGAGCTGTTCTGCTTCCTGCCGCAGCTGCTCCATCTCCCCCATGGCTGACAGGTTAAGAGGTAGCTCCGGCTCCTGCCAGGAACATGGGGTAGGTGTAGGGGGATACCTACCAGGCCATGTTTCTGTCTCTCACACCCCACACCAGAGACTCCTCATGAAGGCTGGAGCCCAGTCCTAGAAATAGGGAACTGACAGTGGCCTACACCACCTCCCCAAACCCCTCCAGGTTTGGAGTCCTGTGAAGCCAGCCCCAGCCCTGCCCCAGCCCTCCCTGCAGCCCCCAGTCCCAGAGAGCAGAGCCAGGCCAGCTCCCTCTTACTTGGGCTCTGACTGGACCTCTCCCAGGTTTCCAGCTCCGGTTCCCAGGCGCCTCCTCACTGCAACGCCAGTCTGTCACCTGCCCCAGCTGGCTCTGCTGCCAGAGGAGCTGGCCTGGCCTGGCCCCACTCTGGGGAGGGGGGTGTGGGCACTGACAGGGAAGGGTAGGGCCAACAAGGACATCAGGCAAATGAAATCAGCTGGCAGGGGTGGGGGAAGAGGACAGGGAGAGGTGTGTGGCTTCCAGAGACTTGGGCCAGCCTGGGGGAGGGGTAGGAGCAGTGCTGGGCTATAGAGGAGCAGCCCCCCACAAGCAGCTCTGGAGGGAGGAGGGGTGGAAGGGGTGCTTTCCTGATCGGTCTCTCTGCAGGCAGAGAAGAGCATCAGGCCCCATGGGATTAGAGCAAAGCTGTGAGGATTAAAGGTTGAGGTTTGGGAGGGTGCAAAGGAACAGTAGTCACCACAGCTCCAGCAGCCCCCTCCTCCCCAGGTCCCCACCAATGGTGATGATCTTGGCAGTCAGGGCCTACCTAGCAACCAGTCCCAGGGCCAGAATACAAGGGTGAGAGATGGCCCATTGTCAATACCCAAAATTGTGTTCCTTAGCTCAGGTGGTGGGGGAAGAGGGTTCTGATGACTAAGGGGAGGGTGCAGGCAGGAGCTGAGATTAGAAGGGACTGATCTGGATAATCCTTTTTCCCGACAAACCCCAACCAGCTGCCCTGGGATCTGATTGGG